TCAAATCCCCATAATCCACATAAACTCAGACTTGGTAGTGGGTATCTGTAATCCCACTGCTTCCACAGTGAGAATGGAAGTGGAGCTAGGGTAATTCCCAGAAGTTTGAAGACCAGCCAGCCTCCTTCCACAGTGGAGAAACAACAAAGAGACCTTGTCCCAAGGTGAAAGGTGAGGGTTGACACCTGAGGTTGTCCTCTGACCTCCACACACACCATGGCACATAATCACCCATACTCATATGTGCATACACAAAGTTTTTTTTTGTCTTTTTGAGACAGGGTCTCCCTGTAGCCCCAGCTGTCCTGGAACTCACTATGTAGACCAGGCTGGCCTTGAACTCACAGAGATCCACCTGCCTCTGCCTCCTGAGTGCTGGGATTAGAGGCATGTGCCACCACGCCCGGCTACACAAAGATTTTTTTTAATTCACATCTGACATACAACATTGGAGACCTTACAGGTGCACTCCCTGCATTCCCTTTACCCTTCTCTGGCAAATACATGTCCCTCCAGAGCGACATTCTACAGGGAGGACCAAGCAGGGGTTCTCTAGAAGGCAGGTTGCATAGAACACCCAGAGACACACATCTGAAATGGCACTTCCCTGATGCTGAGAGACCTCGACGAGCTGGCCAGTCCTCCAGCCAGCTGACCTAAGTGATTTTTGCTGTAGCATGCATTACTGGGGAGATAAATGGAGAAGGGACTTTCTACTCTGGCAATGGCTGCTAGAAATTTTTGACTAACTCTTCAGGCTCCAGCTGATCGGTCAGCTGCCTCAGCTCTGCCTTGCTGCTGGGGCTCTTAGAGTATTCTCCCCGCCCTCAGCTTCCCTCCCCTGTGGCCACAGCCCCTCCCATCAAAGGAAGTGAGAGAGGGGCTGCTGTAACAGGAACTAGGACCAGGAGTCAGTGAAGGAGCAGGAGTAGGGCCATGCCCGAGCCGCCCCCAAGAGCCTCCTGAGCCTACCCCATCGTCACCCACAGGAGCCCAGACGCCAACCCTCACCATGGTGAGTCCTTCTAGGGTGAGCTCCGAGGTGCATGGAGGGGGGGGCTAGTATCAACTAGGTGACGGTGCCCTCAGAGCACCCTCAGAAACTGGAGCACTGGTTATGAGACTAATAGACTCTAGAGAGGATCCCTCAAGGCACGTCAGGGCACTCCTCATGTCCCTTATCAGAGACCAAGTTCTTATCTGATGATGGCTGCTTGGCTATGGGGGCCAAGAACATAGCTGTAACTGGCAGGTGGAAGGTGCCCCCGAGGGAATCCGACAGTCTGCATGGGCAGGGACATGCCCCTTTCCTAGGGCTTAGAGAACCAGTTGTCACTCAGCTCAGACCCTCATCTTCCCTCTGGTTTTCATCGTCACTTCTCTCTTTTTGGCTTCCGTTTTAAGATGTCATATTTGGAAGTTGGTCTAGATAGGGAACATTTTTAGTGGGAAGAGGGAAGTTATTGTTGGAAACATTCAAGAGGTGTGTGGGTCTGACCACTTGGAGTCAGCCAGTGAGAGAAGAAACCGTGTCTTGTGCACAGGCTGTGGGGTGTGGTGACTGTGTAGATGACAGGTAGTTTTACTGTAACAATCTCAGAGCTAGGGGTGTAGCCCAGGGTACTTGGCCAGCTTGCTCAAGGTCCTCCATCTCAAGCACTGAAAATAAACCATCATCATCATTTAATTGCCAATTAATATTACTGAGAAAAAGGAAGAGGAAGAGAAGATGGAGGAGGAACAGGAGATGGAAGAGGAAGGAGACTAGGAGGAGAAAGAGGAGGTGGAAGAGGAGCAGGAGATGGGAGAGAATGAGGAGGATGAACGAAGAGGAGGAAATGGAAGAAGGAAAAGGGAGAGAAAAGAAACAGAGAAAGGAGGAGGGAAGGAGGTGGAGGAGGAAGAAGTGAGGAGGAGGAAGGAGAAGTGGAGGAGGGTGTGTCCACGCCACTGCACAAGGGTTAAAGTGGAGACACGGCAGCCAGAGTTTCGCTGCGTGTTTAGGTTGAGGTCTGCTGACGGTGCTGGCAATGTTGGGGGACAGTCACCATCAAGGGTCTAGACCCGGCAGCATTATGACACCCACAGTAAGACAGAGCCAGGAGTGGTCATACAAGTCACCCCCCCATAGCTCCAGGCATCTGCAGTCCACTTCAACTTTCATTTTGTGTCATTCTATCAGTAAGAACGAGGGCCTGTTTTTAGGAGAGGGATGGTTGCAGGGTTCTTTGTGGTTACAGCAGATGATCAGAGTGGAGGCCGGGAGTTGGGTGAGAGGTAAAATTAATCTGAGAGAGAACTCATCTTTCAGAAAGCCAGTGAGGGTTGGGGCTAGGGCTCAGTGGGTAGAGCGCTTGCCTAACATGCACAAGCCCTGGGTTTCATCCCCAGTACCACACAAACTGGACATGGTGGCACATGTCTGTCAGAACAGCACTTGGGAGGTGGAGGCAGAAGGATCAAGGTCATCACTGGCTATATAACCAATTTAGAAACCAGCCTGAGCTACATGAAACTTGTTCTAAAAAAAAAAAAAAAAGAAGGAAGGAAGAGAATTTCTTACCTGAAAGGAAACCCCTCCTCTGCCAAGGATGAGAAATGCTTAGTCAACAGACTGCTTTTGCAGACGGATCTGGAAGGGGAGAAATGAATGCATCTAAGTGAACAGATAGATGATGAAGCCAGGTAGGGCGGCACACGTGTAATCCCAACACTCTGGGGGTTTAGGCAGGACCATGAATTTGAGGCAGCATGGACTACCTAGTGAGATCTTGTCTCAAAAAAAAAAACAAAAATGGGACTGGGGCTGTCGCTCAGCTGGCAGAATGTTTGCCTAGCATGCACAAAGCCCTGGGTTTGATCCCCAGCCCTGCATAAATAATGTGGTATGGGGGTGCGTGCCAGTCATCCCAGAACTCTGGTGGTGGAGGCAGGAGAACCAGGAATTCAAGGTCATCCTCTGCTACTTAGTGAGTTTGAGTTCAGCCAGGGTTACAGGAGACAAAGGAAAGGAGAGTGGGAAGAAGGGAGAGAGGGAGGAGGGAGAGAGGGAGGGAAAAGAAGACAGTGGAAGAGAAAGGAAAAGACTGAAACCATCTAGGAGAACCATACTGCTGTCTGGGTTGCTGACGCTGTTGAAAGAGTCAGTGAAGCAATGTTCATAAGTCCTTTGTGGAAAACACTGCTACACACACAGCAGCCACCATCACCTGGGAAGTTCCTGTGGATTCAGTGATAGAGATGGCTGTGGGTCACCCATTCTTGGCTATTGTAGATGTCCTTGTGAGGTAGGTACTGTTGTGGTTGTGATCGGAGTGTTGCTGTTGGTTAGTGGAGATTATGTCAACAATAGTCCTCACAGATGGGCTGGTGGTGGTGGTCGGCAGTGACAACAGTTGGTCTTTAGTTTCTTCGTTTTTTAAGGATTTATTTTTGTTTATTTTAAAATATTTGTTACTTTTATTTTATGTGTATGAGTATATTGCCTGAATGTGTTTAAGTGCACCTGTGTCATGCAATACCCGTGGCGGTCAGAAGAAGGCATCAGATTCCTTGGAACAGGAGTTACGGATTCATGTTAGCCACCATGTGGGTGCTGGGATTGAACCTGGGTCCTCTGCAAAAGCCGAGTCATCTCTCCAGCCCCTTATTTTTGTTTTATATGTTTCTGTGTATCACCTACAGAGGCCAGAAAAGGGTGTAGGATCCCCTGGAACTGGAGTTACCAGTGTGGATGCCACCAGATGTGGATACAAACTCAGGTCCCCTGGAAGAACATCAAATACTCTTAACTTCTGTGCCATTTCTCCAGCCCCTCTGGTGATTAGCTTTTGTTGTTGTTGTTGTTGTTGTTGTTGTTGTTGTTTTGGTCGTTTTGAGACAGGGTCTCCCTGTAGCCCCAACTGTTCTGGAACTCACTATGTAGACCAGGCTGGCCTTGAACTCACAGAGACCTGCTTGCCTCTGCCTCCCAAGTGCTGGGATTAAAGGCGTGTGCCACCACGCCCGGCACTTTTGTTGTTTTGAGACAGGGTCTCACATATCCCAGGATGGAATGACCTTGAAAACCTGATCCTCCCGCCTCCACCTCCCAATGCTAGGATGATGGACATGCTCCCCCATGATCTGTTTACATGGGGATGGAACCCAGGACCTCCTGCACAGTAAGCAAACCTCCACCACTGAGTTGTATCTCTAGAGTCTCAGGCAGCCCAGGTTACCCTCAAATTTATTAGGTTGCCAAGATGACCTTGAACTCCTGATCCTCCTGCCTTGGCTTTCTGAGTGCTGGGATTACAGGAGTGCTCCTCCAAACCAGACTAGCTGATACTTAATGTTAGCCATTAATGTTTGGTTGTTTTCATCAGGAAACCATGGTGCTTGTGATGGGTGGTAGTAAATGGCCATTATTTGCAACTGGGTGATTGACAGTTCATTTCCTATTGGTTGCTCATTACTGGTGAATGGGGTGGCAATTCATTACTGGATTTTTTTTTTTTTTTGAGACAGGGTCTCCCTGTAGCTCCAGATGGCCTGGAACTCATTATGTAGACCAGGTTGGCCTCAATCTCACAGAGATCTGCTTGCCTCTGTCTCCAACTGCTGAGGTTAAAGGCATGTGCCACTGTGCCTGACAAAAGCATTATTGGATTTTGAATGGGATATGGTTGTGTATCATTATCAATAACTGCTCTGTGTGTGTGTGTTATATGTGATGTGTGCATGCAGATTTACATACCTGAGCACACAAGCCTATGAAGAACAGAAGAAGACAATGGATCTATTACTCCAACTCATTCCTTGAGTCTCTCACAGTATCTGGACCTAGGCTGGCTGCCAGCAAACCCCAAAGGTCCTATTGCTTCTGCCTGGGGTTGCACAAACATATATGATCACATCTGGCTTTTTATATGGATGCCAGGGATTCAAACTCAGGCCCTCATGCTTCTACAGCAAGTGCTCTTACCTACTAAGCCATTTTCCCAGCCTCTTGGTGTTTGTTTGTTTTCATTTATTTATTTTGTGGGGAGGGGCACACATGTGGAGGTCAGAGAACAGCTCTCAGGAGTCTGTTCTCTCCTTCCACCATGTAGGTTCTAGGGATCAAACTCAGGTCATCAGACTTGGCACCTTTATCCACTGAGCCATCTTACTGGCCCCCATGATGTATTTCATGATGGTTGTTGTTGATAATGGTTATTGTTTTATTGTAGGTATTGGGTTTTGTTTTTTGTTTGGGGACAAGTGATAATAATAATTATTATTATTGTTGTTGTTGTTATTGCCTCAAACTCATGATCTTCCTGCCTCAACCTCCCAAATGCAGACATATGTCATCGCTCTTGGCTGGTTGTTTTTGTTGGTGGTTAGTTAATTAGGGTTGGTGATGATGGTGATGGTGTGGTAGTTGTACAGAACACCGATGATGGAATTGGTTGCTGTTTCATCTGTGGCACTGACACTAAAGCTACCAGCAGTTTCTGTTTGACTGTGAGGGGTGGAGGCAGCTACAGCTTGGCAGTGGTGGTGACATGAAGGTAATGGTGGTTGTTTTGAAGGTTCAGACACAAAGCAAAAAAGATGATACTAGGGATATCGCTCAGGGGTAGGCACACGCCTGCCTAGTATGTGCAGGGTCCTTAGCACCATCCCCAGCACCACAAAAACAAGAGTAAGGAGGAGCTAGAGAGACAACTCAGGTTAAGCACTTGCTGCTCTTACAGAGGACCTGGGTTCAGTTCCCAGTACCCCATTTAGTAGCACACACCTGCCTGTAACTCCAGCTCCACAAGATCTAATTGGTCTCCATGGGCACTCACATGCATGTGCACATATACACACATACGCATAAATAAAAATAAAATACATCCTTTTTAAAAAAGGAACATGGAAAGCAGAGGTGCAGCTGCTTGGTTCAGGTCCAGTGGCTGAGAGGATGGAGAGAAAAGGAGGGATTTAGGAAGGAAGCTTACTAAGACCCCTACCCTAACTGAGGCAAGAGATGTAGTTCAGCTG